GCTAGTTATCGTGGCGACACTACCAACACTGGTTCTCCCCGAAGATTTCACTCCATTCGTAGCGGGCCATCTGTATCATCGCTCGGTGACCATTTCGAACGACGACAGTCCGGCCTTTCTATCGCTTCGTTGGATTCAACAGCAAGTACAAAAGCTGCGCGAACTCGTAAACGACCACAGGGTGTCACGCTCGAAAGCAAGAAATCCATACTTAACGAGCCAAGCACTCCGACCGACACCAAGGAGTTCTTTGAACGTAACCATAAGAAGAACGAGCAATATCGGCGTGAACTGGAGGAGAACCCTCTGACACCACCGCCTGTAAATTACAACCGCCTGACCCAGTACACTGATGACAGCGTGGGAGGACCCGACCTCAACCTCGACCGGGATCCGAAACTGGCCCAAGACATCCGCAAGGTTGGCTCGATTCCTGAATACATTCACACTCCACTCGCCGTGGAGTCTGCTGTAGCCTCCCTGTACGATCAAACTGAACTTAGTGTCCGCTCTTCAAAGGCGTCAAGCCCATTGAAGAAAAGCACGCTATCTCAAGTCAGCACCAATCCTGCTTACGTACAGACTGACAATGTACCTGCTGGTCAGAGATGGGCTGCAATTCGCGACAAGGCTGAAGCACTGTCACAGGGGAACAAAGTCGAAAACTCTCCAAAACAGAGCATTCCCCGCGAGGATTCTCCTAGGCAGAGTATTGCTGAATCCGAGGACGTCGAATCGATTGACGAAGCACCTCGGATGCATCACAGTGCTTTCCCAGTAGGCCAAGATGACATGCCTGAAATTGGATACGGCTTGGACGATCAATCCGACGTGACGACCAATCCCTCAATTATCCAAGGACCTATTGGAGGAGGAAAAGGCTACCGCGACCATACCGATGAGCTGCTTGACATGCAAGAGGAGCGAGAACGCACACCTACCTCGTTCGCCAAGGGTGCTCATCTCCAGCGACATGAACAGCCAAGCCCAGCCACTTTTGATGATGAGCGCCAGCCCACTGTGGAAGATGACTATGATCATCCCTATCCAGGTGAGACACAATACGAACAGGCGGACTACGCGCAGAGTACGCGCACTCCTTTGTCAGGCCAAACCGGCTGGAAAGACGAGGGTTACCAGTCGGCTAACCATGGTGAAGGCTACACGCCTCAAAACCGCAAATATTCCAAGATGTTTGAGGATGATTTTGGCGACGATTACGATGGCATGGCCCTCGGAGAAGATGCCTTTGGTGCGCCTAGAGGCAAACATGACCGGCAAGTCAGCGGCAACTCTCATGGCATCGACTCACCACTCTACGATGCGGCTACCGGCAAGGGCATTGACCATATCCAATCCAAGGACATCGTTGCGCTCATGGATCACCTTACCGTTCGCGATGCCCAGCGCAATGCTCGTGACACCGAAATCCTGGTCACACTTGTTCGTAGCGCGGCTGAGATGCGCACTCAGTTGGACGACCTGAAGCAGTTCATCAAGGTTCAAGACAATATGATTATGAACACGACTGACAAGCGAGTCAATCTTGCCGAACAAAGAATCCTGGGTGGCCCTCGTCCACAGCCCGTTACACCACCTCGCTTCAACCGCAACCACTCTGAGGAGGAGATTGAGACTAAGAAGAAGAGCGTCTTTAGGCGTGCTCTGAAGGGTCTAAGCGCTGGCAAAGGTGATGGCGACATCAAGCACATTGAAGCCATGTTGGTTCAACTGCTTGGTGAAGTCGAGGGCTTGAAGCAGGTCAATCAACTGTCTCTAGACCAACAACAGCAACATCAACATCAACAACAAGAAACTGCTCGAACAAACAGTATGACTTCGCTCGAGAACCGCCGACAGAGTGGCGACGCGGGTTATGAGCCAGAGGGTCGCGCCAACACTGCCGAGTCGCCAAATCAGTCTGGGTATTTCTCCATTCCTTCTTCCTCCAGGCGCATCCAGGATCTTCACTCTGGTTATGACGTTGGCCCAACAACCCGTATCAGCACGGTGCGAGAAGAGAGTGACGAGGAGTATGATGAGCGTTCGCCAGGATACGAGAATACTGAGCGAATGACAACACCCACTCAAGAAGCTTTCCAGGAGAAACGCGCATCTCTTGGAACTCCACCACAAGCTTCGAGGGCAGCACGAGACTCACGAGACTCACGGGACTCGCGAGAACTGCAGAGCCAGGAGAACACACCAAAGCGCAAGCACAAGTCCAACTCGTCATCAATTTTTGGCATCCCCAAGATTTCGCGATGGTCCAAGACAACTGCCTCGACCAACCCCGAGAGCCTGCCACGCAACAGTGGATCTGGAGATAAGCGACCTTTCTCCGCTCATTCAATCCACTCAAGGTCGTCTTCGCAAGATGACTACTATGACGAGGAGGAGCCCTATGCGCAGCATGCCGATGACAGGCTCCGCTCTAACACGTCTCTCGCTAGAGAAGACCAAGGTTCCATCCGCTCCGTTCGCTCTCCTTCGCCTCTGATTCCAGAGGAGAACGCGTACGAGATGGAGGACCCCAAGTACCAGGCTCATCGCAACTCGCTGAACCTGCAGCATCCTCAGCCACGACCCGGTCCTACTGGTCGTCATCAAAACAACCTGGAGACTCAGGCGCAGATCTTCCAGCCCACCAACCGCTCGAGCATCAGTTCTCCTGATTTCGACCAATGGGGCAGCATGCCTTCGCTAGCTCGCAACCGCCTCTCTGGCATGTCAGCTCCCCACGCCAGCAACCTTTCTCCGATTTCATCGGACGGTAGCTACAGCCAAGTTTCTGAGCACCAAAATGGCTCAGCTCGCCAGCCCAAGGCAATGGATGATGGGCCACTCATGCCTCCACAGCAAACCCTTGCTGGTTACGGCCAGACGAGGCAAATGTACAGCTCACCAAATGAGTTTGGCAGTCAAGGTGCCTTGACACCACTCGCACCCATCGCCGAGGTGCGTTATTCGCTCGAGACCGATAGGGGCCACCGCGTAAGTTAAGCTCGCTCATCTCTACAGAGAGATGGATGCTAACCTACGTAAAGATGACGCCCACTGCCTCGTCTCGCGCGAGTTCTGCAAGCCTCCGTACCATGAGTGACTTGAGCACACCACAGCGCAAGATCACCGGCCCTAGGGCCATGGGAAGCAGGAGCCCACAGCCAAACAGCCCGCTGCAGCATTCAGACACCGTCGTCCGAAGGAAGCCTATTGAGGGTAAGTTTAACTTGTTGACGAACTTGTCGAGGAGCAGTGCTGACGAAGAAAACAGATGACTTGGAGTCTCTCGAGAGCTACCGCAGCAGTCTTGACTCTGAGATCTTCTAGGCGAATGATCGAAAGCCCGGCGCCCTACTTAATAGCATCAAGCACTCTGCAATTGGATGCTGGGCCAGAAGTGATGACAAGAATGGCAAATCACGATTTTCACGTCATAACCGTGACAAGATGAAGGCACGGCAGCAGTCCCGGCTTCGGCATGTTACTTTTGCTGAAGAGAATGGGAAGTAATGGATTTGGGGAAGGACGAATGGCGGGGGGCTGGTTCTAAAAGTCTCACAAAATATCTCCTTGGTTAGGTGTGGCTGTTCGTTCGTTTTTAACATAATTTTCGCATTATATCAGCTTGCGGGCATGGCGTCTTCTAGCGAGCGAAATTTTTACATAGCACTGCAACGACAAAGAGTATGAAGTCAACGGGAGTCTCGAAGTGATTCATGATGAAGGGATGACCAACTTCATGCTTTAACGAGAGATGAGGAGTTTTTCTGGGTGTGTATAGCGGTACCAATATATCATGTTACGATGGGAATGACTTTGTTTTAATGAGTGATGATGGTGTTGTGGTGAGAGAAAGTTGGGTCTTGTGTCATGGTGGTGTCTTTGGTGCCTGAATGTCATCACCACACATACAAATGGAGCAGATGACTACGATAACAACACGACCAGCCAACTCCATGATAACCTTTCTATGTACCCCCGCAATATAGATCGCCCATCAGTCACCTACTACAAGTCAAAATTTCCCCGCTACAACGATGATCATAAGTCTTCGGCCCGCACTTATGAGGTCGCTCTGACATCATATCAAAGCGTCCCACACCACACCACACCTTTGCATCATTATGCGCATCATGCCTAGCCTCTGAGAAGAATATAAAACAGTTTCTACATACTTGTAAATGTCTCCCTGAAAACCTCCTCACCTTACTCCATCCAAAATCAACTGTTTGATATCTACCAATCCTCTATTCTATCACTTATCCTCTTACAATTAACGCAATTGAGAAGAAGAGAGATAAAAAAAATAAAGCAACCATGCCTGAAGCCTACAAAAACAAAGACCTAAACGACATTGCCCACAAAGCAGAGCAAGACGCAAACAGCCACGCTGCTAAACACGGGCATACACATGGTGATTCCAGTACATCCTCTCCCCCTTCCTTCCCCTCCCCCAATTTCCCTCATCTAACCACGGACAACTCTAGCAATCGACTCAGGCATCGACTCCGCCGCCGCCGAGAAAAACTTTGCCGGCGCAAACGTAACATACGGTTCCGCAGCCAGCGGTAGCGGTAACAACCGCGATATCCCGCCTGAAGAGGGCGGCGAGGTGGGGAGGAACGGGGAGGTTACAAAGGCGGGGGATTTTGCGAGGGGAGGAGTGGGGGCGCCGGAGAGGAGGGATGAGACGTTTGCGAGGACGCATGGGGGTGACGATTCGGTGAGGGATAATGTTAGGAATTGATGGGGGAGGGCGGGGGATGAGACTTGCTTTGAGTGTTTGTTGATATAGTAGTCTTGGACTGTTTATGTGGTTCGAGGTTGAATTTGGTGCATGTCTAGTTTTTGTTGGTTATGAATTTGAAAAAAAAAAATGAAATGTCGAAGCTAGAGAAAAATTTATTGTACATGTGCAAAGAAACGTAACTTTTTCGGTTTCGAAAAGAAGTAGAATAAATGGTGCGGATGACTGCTTTGCTACCAGAGAGTGACTCTCAATATTGGTCTGCTAGTCCTACAAGGTCATTCTTGTGGAAGTCTGGTACTAAATCGTATCTAGATGAAAAGACATGCTCGTGTCTCGAAGTTGATGTGGTCGTTCGAGGGCTTGAAGTCAGGTGGGGAAGATCTGGGTGTTTTCTCCGGTAGTGTTTGCGAAGGGCATCTGATCGCTGAAACAGCTGTCCGCAATGAGAACAAGAGAGTTCAGGTAAGCTCCGATGCTTTATTCTTATATGCCTCGCACGATTTCCTTTTCGATATACACCGCTGAAAGAAGTGTCGCAATGTAAGCATTGAAGTGGCTCTTGCGTGTTCTCACTTGTCTGGCTTGGCAGCAAAGAAGTGACAGAGTACGAGGCTGGAGGATCAATTGTTCGAACAGTAGATGCGTGCGTTGAAGATCTTTGAGAGTCCTTGGTTCTATCGTCACCCCCTGGATCGAAAGACTCTACTGTCTCAATGTACCTTGAGTGGTTGTAAGGGCTTTTGTCGTCAGAGGCAGACATCCAGTTCCATAGCGGGTGACACATGAATAAATCGGTATGTTCGTCCGCAATCGAGAATTCCGAAAATTCTGTCCATCTCTGAGGTCTAGAACTGCCTACCAGAGTCTCTTTGAGACGCTCAGAGCTGATTCCCTGCTTGTGGTATGAATGTTCATCTTCTCTTATGAGACCTTGTATTTGCAACCGCGCAGTATCCGAGGCGAGAGAAGAGGTTGCTTCAGAGCTCTCTTCGAATATCCCATACCAATTGCTGGGGCTCGCTCGAGTAGCTTCTGAGTTCTCTTGTATTTCATCTAGATCTCTTTGCATATCCCAGTAACACCTGGTAGATGCAGGCGTCCAGGGATCGTGAGACTGAGTATTGAATACGTACCCCAAACCTAGCAACATGTCGTTTTGCTGAAAGCTAGAGAAGCTGCGAGTATGCAAAGGGTCATGTCTAATCTCTGACCATGGACCAGACGACGGACGTTGGTTCATCCAACTGATGATAGACGAGGGATTCTACTAACAATATCAATCAGATATGAAATTTGATAGGCTCAGCTAAGACTTACGTTCTGTGGCTCTGCATCTGATTTAGTATCATCAGAATCCGAATCGACAATGAACCGAGAAGGTGTGGGGTCAGGTATGGCCTCGTTGTGATCCCGTAGGACAGGATGAGAAGCACGAGGCTCTCTATTGTTGTATGCAGCGGATGGGAATGGAATGCTCGCACTAGGCCCGGGGAGTGCGGAAACATTGTCAATCTCTTCTTGGATGATACTTTCAATGCAGTTTTCATGTATGTTCGGCAAGGGAGATGTGTGTGTTTGACGATGTTGAGAGGTCATAACTGCTTCAACTTGGCGATACAGTAGTTCCCATTGCACTTGTGCATTGGCTCCTCTGCGTCCGCGTTTCCGGTTGTTGCAAAGCTCTCCTCTGTAGCCATGTTGAGACTCGAACACCTCCTTGTCAATGAAATCGTCATTGCAGGTGAGACAGAGTTCTAAGAATGTTAATTGGGGTTTCCAACCTCGGCCTGGACGTCGTGTTAAGTGGCGTCGCAACTCCGACATATTCGCACTCTTCACGTTGTTGCATGTGCGTGGCCAGCCATGTCGAGTTTCCGCGACAAACACGGGACAGTCGAACCTACGGCTATTGAGACTCCGACCATGGAACATGGCGTCAATGGCTGTAATCGCAGCCGAACTGAGAGTGTTGGGATGTTGCAAGTCATGCCAGAACAATTCTGCACACACACCAGGCCAAATCACGTTCAGCACCCACACTTCAACGCCGAACCCCGCGTCTAAATAAGAAAGTACCTGATCGATACGCTATAATGGTAGCTTAGTACGGAATCGATGAGGCATTGGTGCCTAGCCATGCAAATACAAAGAATGCGGAAAGCCACTCACATTCAAAGAGTCAAACTGTGCAATGACTTGTAATGGCTGATCTCTGCTGCCTTGTATGGACGGCTCGGACTCGTCGGAAGAAGGACTTTGCTGCATTAGGGGGTCCATGGCGATGGAATGATGGGATCGCTCAAAACAAAATGGAGGACTCTTCTGCTTCGAGACTGAGGGACTCTTCCGAGGAGGGATAGCATGGCTCTTTAAGTCATGCGAAGTCGCCCATCATTGGTGCATATATCGCCTAGTGTAAGGTTGGCTTGCATGAATGCGGGCTTGTCAACATGTAGAGTTGCGGACTTGCGGACTTGTGGACCTATTCAACTGCCTTGTTGCCTGAAAATTGTGAAGCGTGATTGGGTGAGAGATGTGACAGGCAAAGTTGCGCGCTTGGTTGGTACGTAAGATGCTATTATTCGACATGACACGGGCCTGGTGAGTGGGCAAGCAGCCAAGCAGGCCAGTAGCCAAGTAATCAAGTATGCAGCCTGTCATATCAGCGAATTGCCAAATGGACGAGGGCATGCTTGGGTGCATAGTTGCCGAATTGCAGTCTTGCATAGAAATACAATGACGTAGTCACAGCCTGACTACAGTGTAATTGAACCTGAGTAAAGCTTAGCCGCATTCCTACTGTTGTTTCATATACCCATTTTCAAAATTTGAAGTTGCGTTGCCATTAGGCATGATGACCAAGAACGATTATAACGATGCCATGACATAACTAGAAGGGGTATCAACGCAATTCATGCCATAGGCAGAGAACAAAGTACTGCGCCATTCACACACAAACACAACTGAAAAACTATGCCCATACACCAAGTGTCCAACTAGCCCTCTCTCCGCCTTTATTAGCCAGTCCAGGGCCCATGCTCTGTCTCTGTGCAATAACTGAAACTTCCTTTTCACGAGATGCACCTTGCAAGCCATCTTTAAGGTATCTTTCGCGCTCCACCTCGACGATTCCCTTGATGCGTTGCTGAGCAATGAGGCTAGCACCTACCCATGGGCCCAATGTCTCGACGCCTCTGAGAATACCACCCACCAGACTTGCAGGTGGCGGGCCATAGCGAAGATTCATGTGGGCCAATTTCATGTCTATAGCGTCTTGCTCATGCGGTTGGAATGCTGCAGGCACTATTTGTAAAGGATTAAGTGGGTCAAGAGAAGTTGCCACTGTATCCCCGCCCTCTTGTTTACGCATCTCCAAACTCTCCCGGTGGTTACGTAACTTTTCTTCGCGGCGTGCACTTGCTTTTCCATAACTTTTGACTGGATCCCAGCCTCTTGCTTGCGCCAATGCATCCAGCTCCTTCAGTGTACGGGTCTTGATGCCGGGAAGATTTGACACACCGCCGGTGATGATTATGCGTGACATGCACAACCGGCGGACATCGACTGGAAGTTGTACAAGGGTACGGTATATGAGGTGGTGCAGCGGGAGGTCTTCATCGTCGAATTCGCTGATGGACAGCTCTGGTGCAAAGAGAGCCGCATCTGCGGGCTTGGCGAGCGACGCAAAAGGTATCGTAAGTTCTGTCGGAGGCGTATGTTTGGGAAAGGGGATTGTGACGGTGGGTGGTGGTGACTCGATAGCGTCTTCGAATTCTTCAAGCACGGGTGCTTCTCGTGCAGGAAAGTAGACGGTTCTCCGATTCGATCTAGCAATGGGCTTGCACCACCCAACACGGGTGAGAACTTCTTCGACTTCTTCGAAGGACACATCGGCTTTGGGAGCACCAGGCTCAGCATTGTCTAGTTCAGCATTCAGCAGCTTGGCCATCTCTTCGCTAAGCATCTTGCCTGCCCGCACACTGCGCCTTTCAGACACTTCGCGATACTCGTATACTGCCGTGACGAGTGTTTCGGCCCAGCCTATATCCACAATCAGGGCTGAACGTAGTCCTGCTGCCACAGCAGAGAGTACGGGGTTAGACATGAGACTAATGCTCGGGGCTTGGAAGCTCGTGAATAAAACATCCATGATGGTAGAGATGAGTGCATGCGGCATACGAGGCGGCAGGGCTAGCAAGACACGGCGCGGCTTTGTATCCAGCAAGAAGTACTTTGTGTATACCTCGCGCATAGCCCTCTCGAACTTGTCTTCAACCAAGCCCAGATCCACCTTGGTCAAGTCGAGGCGGTATAGCTCATGCCGTTCTCCCCACTCCTCGCCCTTGTTCCTCTTTGGCCTCTTCTGTGTGTATTCCGGGTCCCACTGCCTGTAGTCACCCACCCTCCGCTGGTCTTCAGGCCCGAACGGGAGGGTGCATCGCGGGGCACTTTCTCCAGGGAAGCCCCCACGTACAAAGCGTGAACCGACTTCAATGACGATGAACTCGTCGTCAAAGCGGAACGAGCCACCGGGAGAGCCAAAGGTAGACGAGATGGAGCGGAGGAGCGGGGTTCGCGGGGATTCTCCCAGGTCAGCAAGGCGAGGGGTGTTTCCCCGTGTGCTGCGATTGAGGGAGCTCGAGACTTTGCGTTCGCCGCCAGACGACATGGCGGAGGCGAGGGGTGAGCGCAGTGCAATGGGCCAAGCAGAACACTGGCTTGCATGTGCTGTTGGCAGTCGGGACGTTGCTCTATCCCGGCAAAAGCAGGCTAGCTCGTTCTGGGACTAGCGTTTTGCTGATGGCCCGAGCTCAGGAAAAAGTTCGAGCTGGGATGGATTCTGCACGTCCAGAGCTTGCGACAAACCCCATCGCGACTTCCCACACTCCGTCCAAATCAACCTTCCAGGGCAGTTGCGCTCCGCGAATCGCGAATCCCACTGGACCCTTCCCTACGCCCGAGTACACGCACAATGGGTCTTTTTATTCTCTCGGAAACCTCGGCGGGTTATGTCCTTCTCAAGTCCAAGGACAAGAAGCTCTTGGGCGGAGACACAAAGGATTCCTCGAGCATCGCCGAGCAGCTGAAGCTCAAGAAGTTCGCCAAGTTTGGCAGCGCCGTCGATGCGCTTGAGCAGGCTGCCGCTCTTCACGATGGCAAGGTCACGCCCATGCTGTCGTCGCTGCTGGACGAATTGAAGGATGAGACCAAGGCTACTTGTATGCTGCTCCACGAGCCTTTTGTGCGAATTGTGTAGCTGACATTGCTTCAAGTGGCTGTTGCCGACCCCAAGCTCTCCAATGCGATTGCTCAACTCCCAGGTCTTTCCCTCAAGACCGTCTCAGACTCCTCCACACAGGATGTATTCCGTGCCATCCGTGAAAACCTGTCTTCACTCCTTCCCGACCTACTTCCCTCTGAGGAAGCCGCGACTCGCCTGGGTCTTGCCCACTCTCTGTCGCGACACAAGCTGCGATTCTCCCCCGACAAGGTCGACACCATGATCATCCAGAGCATTGCTTCTCTCGATGTCTTGGACAAGCAGCTCAACACCTACGCCATGCGAGTCAAGGAATGGTACGGCTGGCACTTCCCAGAGCTTGCCAAGATCTTGAACGACAACCTGGCCTACTGTAAGTTTTTAATCTGCCTGGCTTTGATGCTTTGCTAATTTTTGTAGCGCGTGTCGTTTTGAAGATGGGCTTCCGCACAAATGCTCGCAACAGCGACCTCTCCGACATTCTGCCTGAAGAAATTGAGGTCAGTTTTTGACAAACCGTCATGTTACGAACACTACTAACAAACTTCAGGCGGCTGTCAAGGCGGCTGCAGAAATCTCCATGGGTACTGAAATCACAGAGGAGGATTTGGAAACCACCTCTGCTCTCGCTGAGCAGGTCGTCGACCTGACCGAGCACCGTCAAAACCTCGGAAACTACCTATCGAACCGCATGCAGGCGCTTGCTCCTAACCTGACTGCTCTTGTTGGTGAACTTGTTGGCGCGCGCTTGATCGCTCACGCCGGATCTCTCATGAACCTCGCCAAGTCGCCCGGTTCCACCATCCAAATCCTCGGTGCCGAGAAGGCCCTCTTCCGTGCTCTCAAGACGAAGCACGACACACCCAAGTACGGTGTAAGTACTTATTGTTCTTGATCAACCAGGATTTTGCTGACTCGACTAGCTCATCTACCATGCATCTCTTATCGGTCAAGCTACCGGAAAGAACAAGGGCAAGATTGCCCGTATGCTCGCTGCCAAATCCGCCTTGGGTCTGCGTGTCGATGCCCTTAGCACCTGGGGTGTCTCATCAGAGGACACTTCCAAGGAGCCTACCGAAGAAGAGAAGTCACAGATTGGTCGCGACGCACGCCTGACTATTGAGAGGAGACTGCGCGCACTCGAGGGTAAGCCATTGAAGAGCTTGACCAACGCCAACCAGACTGCGCTTGGTGGACAGAAGAAGTGGGAAGTCAAGGAGGCGCGGAAGTACAACCCCGACGCCGATGGTCTTACTGGCGACGAGCCCGCTGCTGATGCGCCCAAGTCGGCCAAGGCCAACGGCACACCCAAGAAGCTGGTGCAAGAGGTCGACAGCGACGGTGACGAGAGCATGGCCGACGCCGATGCCACTTCAGAGTCAGACTCCGAGCCAGAAGAAAAGCCAACTGGAAAGGATAAGGCGGCGAAGAAGGCAGCAAAGGAGGCATCAAAGGAAGCCAAGAAGGCACGGAAAGCACAGCGAGCCGCTAAGCGCGAGGCCAAGCTGGCCAAGAAGGCAGCTAAGGAGGCAAAGAAGGCAGGCAAGGACAGCAAGAAGCGGAAAGCAGAGGGCGGTGAGGACAATGGAGAGAAGAAGAAAAAGAAGAAGAGCAAGGACTAGACACGCCATGAATTAGGGAGGTAGAGGGGGAAGAGAGGAAAGAAGTGATGGCCATTGTATCCTTTTTTTTTCCAGTCGCCATCTCTTCTTTCTTTCTCTTCTGTCTTCTCTTCTGACACCACATGACAGAAAACCAGGGGGACAATATGGCGTTGATTTATCTGGGTTTGAGCTTGTTCACCATTTTACTTTGGGCGAGTGGCGTAAATTTTTTTGTTTTCTCTTCTGTCTTCGGGGTGTCTGGGCATATTCTTGTGTAGTTTTACCTTGACAAAAAAGGTCCTTTCTTCACGTTGCATGAATGGGGATGCGGTGGGATGGAATACCCCGCCAGCTGGTAGCATACAATTACATGTTCGAAAAAAAAAGTTTTATGCTTTTGGTTTATATGTTGTGTTGATTGCTTCTTTTTCCCATTGTTCGTTCATCTCATGCCATATGGATAACAAAAAAAACACTCCTATTGCGTTGCTTCTTTCTCTACTTCACTTGCCACATCCTTTTCTGCTTCGTCATCATACTTTTTACACCTTCCTCTTAACCTTCCTCTTCTTCTTATTCGCAGCACCAAGCAATTTATTCGCTATCTTGGGCATGTCCACATCCTCGACTCCCTCTGGAATCTGCGCTTCCTCCTCGTCAAACACTTGCTGGATGATGGCCAGCATATCGTGTAGTTCATCTTCTGTGAATCGGGTACCCGCCTTTTCATCTCTTATCAGCCTTATCCACTTAAAAAAGAAAAGTGGAGGGTAGAGTCACGTGAAAAGTAGGAAGACAGGAGGAAAAGAAGGGGAAGGGAACGCACCTCTTCAACAACCAACTCAAGCATAACCTGCGTAGTCGGTCTCAGATTATAAATCTGGAGGTACTCCGCCTTATTCAATCGGTACTTGGGAGCCAGGGCACGGAACAGGCTGTTGGGTCCCTTGTACAGGGTCATGGGCCTGTTGGGATGCGCATCTGCGAGGGCGGTGGTGGTGTAGTCGGGTGTTTGCAGGTAGGCGAGGCCATCACGGAGCATGTGGTTTAGGCCAGAGGGCTTCTTGCGCTTGCGGTTTGTATCATCGGTACCCGTATATTCTGCTTCTTCGGCGAGGAGGTGCAGGAGGACCTCATGGTTGGTTAGGAGGGCGGATTGCGGGGTTTTGATCTATGTGTTTGTGTGTGTGAGTGGGAGAGCGAGTTTCCATGGCGTGACCGGACTTTCGATGTTGTAGTGAAGTTTGTCTTTTTTTTTCCTTCTCTTTCTTCTTTCATTCTCTCTCGGACGTCTCGCCGTTACTTACATGCATGGCTATGATTGGATGATATTTTTTTATTCCCAGTTGCTGCTCGGACAAACACAAGTCACGGGATCTTCAAGTCCACTGACTGTATATCCCTACGTGAGTCAGTCTCGTCATGTAATCTCTCACACCATCAACTTTTTTCGGACAGTAAAAACAAAAATCTCGATCGTGCATGGAAATTTCCGCGAATGGACTGCACGTCTTTATCATTTTGATTAACTCTCTGCATCTTAGCATGCATGCAAAGTAGCCGCAGCCAGTAAAAGCACACATAGTCTGATAAGAGATGGTACGTACCCACTTGGCGAATATGAAGCTGTACGCGATTCTGGGGCTACATGCGCAGTCGAAATTAGCTTCGCACGTTGCAGTGCTTTTGTAGTGAGCAATGTTCAGAGGTTCTACATGGCGTTGCGGGTGGACCGTGATAGAGAAGGAAAAGGTTAGTACAAGGCAGATTTTCGCGCTAAGGGCTTGGCGTTTTCAAGGGCTAATTCCTGCCGCAAGGGAAAGGACGAATATTGCAAGGCTCACAATCACATCACGGCGGTTTTCAGAAATGCTACGTCCATGAAATATGAATATAAACTGGCGTCCGAAATCGTTGCTATATCTTGATAGTCTAAATCATCACTGGGGTATTACGATTATATCTTCCTTTTTGTACTGTTCCAGACAGGTCTCAAATGCTACTAACGCCGCGCAATGCTATGCGGAGAATGGGGTACTCGCAAGGTCGTCAAACAAGGAAATTTGGAGATTCGTGGGGTCAAATGCCCCAATCGTCGTGCTTTGAGTTGGCCCCCATTGGACCTTCGGTAGGCTTACGCCCATGATGTTATTGGTCTGCTGTTGTTGTAACTTTGGTTTTCTTAATTATGAAGACGCCCACTTCAACACCCTTGGTGGGCGCTCCATCTTGATATTCTCGTTTCGACACGCCATCGAGGACATGCTGGATGAGCGAGGCAGCGCTCATTTCGCCCATGGGAAGCTTCTTGGATTTGTTGAAGTACTTCATGATGACGTCTCGCACACGAGGCTTTTCTTGTTTAATCCACCAATCGTCTGCCCATGCTGATCTTTCCAGGAAGATATCCTCTTTTGCGGCATGAATAACTTGGTACGCCGCCTTTTTGTCAGCCCTTAGGTGCCGCTCACTCATTGCATGACAGAATCTTCGCACTTGGAGTTCTAGATGCTCATAAACATCGAGGTAGTTGACCGAGCCCATCTGACCTATATCTCTTCCCAGCTCCGAGTGAAGCTCGTGCACTACCGTCACAGAGCGCAATAGCGGATCGAGGATGGGTCCAAGGTACTGTCTCATAAACGTCTTTGCGCCTGTTTTTGTTGGGTAGATGAAGAGCAAAATGCCATTATCACTGGAGAGTTCGATCAAGCGGTCGTACAACAAGGACCGGCCGTGGAATGTAAACATTTCAGCAAATTCGTTCGTATTCGTGGGCGGGATGTATCTCTCGACGATTGATATGTTGATACTCCCGGGGGGAACTACAGGTCTAGGGGATGGCGGCAAAAGTTTCGAATCGAGCTGGTAGTCGGGTATGGCGACTGCACTGTCAAAGACTTTGCTGGTAAAGTACGAATCACCTCCGACTGCAGGGCCTGGTGTTGAAGGGGGTGACTTGGGCAAGTCAAGGAGGGTGTAGCGTCCAGGGAGAGCATGGAATACATTGATCCATGAAGTGTGTGTCGAAGAAGCGTCGTGAATCGAAGCAATGACATCGCCAAACACATGGCCCGCTGTAGAAGGGCAAGGAAGGGCGTGAGAAAGGATTCTGACAGAGTCTAGGCCTAGACATCCAGATTCGTGAACTTGAAGAGTTTAGTACGGCAAAAAGAGAGAGGGTGTGTGTGAAAGAGGGAGGGGGCGATCACTTACTGATTGTGCTTTTGGCCATCTCGATCCATGTAGCCATTCCCTGTGCTTCGGGGAGTGGCGCGTGAGTTGGGACGATGATTTGTGCTTGGGGAGGAGCTAATTCACGAGCGGTAATGTTTGCACTGGGCGAGACACCTGGATCCGAGTGGGGAGGCGAGCCTAGTGTGGCAATACGAGGGTTCATAAAGGAACCCCAGTTGATGGTTCCTGGCTCCGAGTCCGAAGGGGGCGTGTGGGTGGAGAGAGAAGGGCCCACGCGTGCAGTTGCAGCCTTCGGACTGGTGACGGGAGTGTGGAGGAGGGCGGCCGTGGCGTGGTTGTTGCAATTGTGAGCCAGCGGGCTGAGTGCATGGAGAGGGTCTTCTGGCTTTGATAGTGGTCCCGCGCCTAGTGGAGAGAAGGGCAGATCAGGCTGGGCCAGAATATGGTCAGGGTGGGGCGCGGCAATACCCAGGACATGGAACGAGGGCAGGCGTAAATTATGCTTTGCCTTTATTATTGTTGGTGGAGGAAGCGAAAGACTACTTTGAGGTAAATTGAGGGTCAGATCGACATGTGGATGATCTTCGGTGATGGGCGTGGTGAGAGGCTGGGGTAAGGCGGAAGGCAGCGGGAAGGGCTGCGGCAGGGAAGCGTCGAGAAATGAAGAAAAAGCGTCGGGAACCACGGTGTCGGAGCAGGGACCCGCTTGTGCTGCTTCATCCGGTGTTTGTGGGATGGAGCTGGGAAGGGGTTCGTGGGGTTGGGAAGGGAGTTGGGAGGGGAGAAAGGCAGTGGTGGTGGTGTCAGCATGGAGCTGGTCAAAGACTTGGGTCCGGGGATTGGGATCGGTCATGGCAAACGTCGATTGCGATGTTTGCAGGCGACCAAGGCGCAGTACAGTCACGCTACCTGTCCTGGGCGGGCGGGAGAGACAGAGTGACGGACGGACAGGCGCACGGAGACGTGGCTGGAGGATCTGGCGGCCAGGAACCAAACCGTTTGACTAGCTTTTGCTGCGGGGCGGTAATCAACGGCCGTGGGGAGGAGGACGACAGCAAAGAAGACGGGGCGGAGGGTGTGGGTATTGGGTATTGGAGGGGAGGTGAAGACGCAGGGCTGTGCTGGAGAGCGATTGCCAAGGCCTGGTCCAGAGTGCGACAAGGACAGTAGCAGCACCGCAGCGCACAGCACGACAGCGGGGAAGAAGCAGCAGTAGCAGCAGCAGCAGCAGCAGGATGGGGTTGGGATGGAGGGAGGGATAGCAATGGAACGGTACATACATGGAGCGAGCGAGCGAACGGGCGTGTAGTGGCTGACCGTGGGCCCACGGATTCAACACCCGGTGCTGGCGCTGCAGTTGATGCTAGTGCGTGTGCATACGCCAGGGTCTCAGCAGCGTGAGTTCTAGACCCCGGCCTCGAGAGCGTTCAGATGGATCAGAAATGGCCTGACCGACAGAGTCGTCTGCCCGCCCTCGGGCAGGTCAGCAGGGCTGTGGAACGGTTGGACCGGTACTACCTGATACACGCTCCCTGTACATACTACCACCAATACTAAGTACATACCCAGGTACATGCCCCATATCTACGTTACTTACATGTCGACTACTAACAACCAAAGTACATGTACATGGTACTTGGACACAAGTATCCCTCCTTACATAAGTACATACATGTAACTATCCCTCCACTCGTGTGCACGGCAAGGCCCTCTGCCCCTACACCAGCTAGCGCCTCTATCTGATGCATCGCACGCATGCAGCTGCAGCCCACTAATAGTCTGGACAAGAGCGCCGCATCCTTTTCGGGCCTGCTCTGCCTTGCTGCTTCGACTCGACTGGCGGCTTGAATCTCGGCTGCCATGCTTGCTTGACTTTGCACACGACTGCTTGCTCTCCCATGCCAGACGCCAGACGCCAGATGCACTGTAAGCCCTCCCTTTGGGAAACAAGTCTATGCGAGTCTAGATTTCTTCCTCGACTTCTCTTTTGCTGCTGCCTAGCGCCAATTAAGCGACCCTATCCCGCTCTCTCTCTCTCTCCCCTCTCCTCTTCCTCTTCTTCTCCCCTTCCTCTCCCTCTCCTCGCCCTCAGCATCAGCCCGGACTCCGAGCATACAATTCCATGCTGCCTCTGGCCTGCTCCATTAAGGTTCACCCCCTGTCCATACTTGAAACTGCTCCTCTTTGCTGCCGAATGTGCGGCCGATCAGTCTGCTGCGCGTCAGCCGCCAGGGCCTTGCCAGAGCCACTAGCCCATTACTACCCTGGACCTAAGTACACCACTCGGCATTGGGAAAAAAAGGCGTTTGGCTCAATCGTCCCGTCATACCATGTGACAAACGGCATGCACGTCCTTGCTCTACATTGTTGCTCCACGACACGTACATTTCAATCACTACATTTTTTTTTCTTTCCAGTCTCCCCCCTCAAACAACCGACTTCTTTCCTATCGATTGTCTTTCGCTCCATCCCTCAGTCCTTCACTAATCAATCACCAATTCCACAAACACATCATCACCCACAACAACCTAGGTATCGAACTTGCAAAACATCAGCTTCTGCCCCTCGTGTTTGCTGCTCACACCACACTTACCTGCCACTTCTGCAGACCTCTCTCCCGCGCCCCTCCCTTTGCTGCCCCGCTCGACCGACTTGCCATCTTGGGCTCATGCCGTTTTACGTACTCTTGCGCCAAGATGGGACATGCCTTTTTGTGTGCTTTGAAATGTGCCTTTTGACACTCCTTGTTGCAGTAGGCTACGCTGTGGCATTTTATGCACTGCTTGAGTGAGTCTGCCGATTTGCCGCATTGACCACACGCTGCTGGTGGCACTTGTTGACTTGCTGAAGCCGTCGACTCAGCCTGCGTCTCGCTCGACTCTGCTGCCGTCGTGTTTGATGCCTCTGGCTGGGTATCCGGTACATCATTCGTGATCGGACTAGGTTCTGCCATCATGTAAGTATGCCAGATGAAGCGGGAATGCTGGACAAAATTATTTGGATTGCTACGAGAGATTCTCGGGTCAATGTGCGACTTTGCACCGCGGGACTGTCAAAGTTCGATGATCGGCATTTGACTTGCAGGGATCTGCCGTTGGCGAGAGCCCTAGTCCTATCTCGTCTTAGCTCTTCCGGTCCCATTTTCTACGTGCTAAAAGTTTGCAAATACTCTACGCATGGCTGCCCATTGCATGCAGCCAGCAATGCAGAAATCACATTGCATGATATCCACTTCAAGAGATTACCAGCATATTGAATCAAGGATATCAGCATCGGAAAAACAATTTCCACATCTGCTGCTCGCATCGAGAACTACACCCCGGCCAACGTTTCAGCCACAATGGCAGTGTCCACAAACATACGCGTTTCCCAAGCCACAATCAAACGTAATTCCTTCAGCCTGGCCTTGCCGGCTTCCGATCAAGTCGGCTGAATCTTCGGTGCTGAAATGCCAACTGTGGACGCCTGAAAGCTCACTGCAACGGGCCGAGCAGTTGCTGTATCCGGCCACTACTGCACGGCGGATATTATACATGAGCTGAGATGGCAGTACGACATACATGCTAGGCTGCAGAAACCTGTGGCTGAGTTCCCCATCATACGCAGATTTGTCCCAAATACGATACTCCGCGCTGCATCCTCGTAGAGCCAAGACCTGTCCGTGTTACCTCGAATCGGCCCGTTGTTCTTCCATTTGGTAAACCCCTAGTAATGCCAATACCTGGTAACACAGCATGCACATGTTGTGTGGCAACCAGAATGCAACCATTCGTCCAGCTACATGGAAAGCTCCGAGTTAGTAAATCGAACGGGTTGCATTCCTGTTGGTCAATGGCGGTGGGACGAAACTTTAAAAAAAGTATGGATACGCAGCATGGCCGGAGATTTCACTAGAGATACTCCATTTCCATTTCTGAACAATTGAGCAGATATGGGGAATATGTGTCTGGACTGATTGTCCTACCTCGGGATTCGGACTTCGCTACAAGCAAATGCTTGGATAAAGTGTTTGTCGGACATCGCGGACGCCACACGCCCTGTCATAACGCAAAGTCCGATACTGTGAGACGACAATATCACAACATGAACGAGATCAACTGTTCGTTTTGCTTTCAAGACTGAGTTAGCAGATTCAAAGAAAAAAGGATATAGAGATAATATCCAAGCAATATTATACTGTCAGACCAAACTCCCATAACTTTGACTGCAGTGTCTCAAGCAACGCGGGCAATTCCTTAATAATTAGAAAGACCCGTAGGAACAGTTGATAGACGGACACCCAGCGGCGTACACGTAAACGACCGCCACCCCGAACAGCCACTTCCGCCAGCCTCCTCAGTGAAACCGCCCATTGCACCAGACTTCACCAGCAATGCCTCCACAAAATCAGAACAACGGAGATTGCAAGCCCCTCCAACGTGAACACGACGTTGCAATGTAGCCCTGTAATTGGAGACAAAGATCCGCCTCAAGCAGCCACATAGCACACCACTTGAATCCTTCTACTCACCACCACAACGTACGCACACGCGTCACTCTCGATACCTTCGTCACTCTCAACACTTCCCTCAACCCAAGAACCCAGTCATATATAACACCACTTCTTCCATCCCACCCCATCACCACCAGCTCCACAACCACCATCCCTTCAAGTTTAAAAAAACAAAACAAAAACAAACCATCTTTACAAGCCCAAAAAAATGCTTCTAACCGCCCATCTCTTCCTCCTCCCAACCCTCCCCCTCACCCTTGCCCTCATCGCACCCATACCACGCCACCCCCCTACAACCCCGCACCTCCACGCTCCCTCAGACTGCGCCCCCACAACCACAATCACTAAAACCGTCACCGTCACGATCCCCATCTACGCGCCTACGGGAAATATCTCGGTGACGTTTCCGAATACGACTGTGGCGGCTACGAGTACGAGTACGGGTGGGGGATTGGAGCCGATTACGTTGATTACGCTGTCGAGTGTGACGAGTGAGGGGGGTGAAGTGACGGCGACGGCGACGGCGACGGGTGGGGGGTTGGAGCCTGTTACGTTGATTACTTTGCCTAGTGTTACTGCTACGGCTACGGCTACGGCTGGAGGAGAGGGAGGAGATGCAGGGGCGGCGCCGACGCCGAATGATATTGCGCCCGTTACGTTGATTGATATTAGTACTGCTGTGCCTATTTAAAGACGAAATCGCGGGAAGCAAGGACATGTTTGAAGCTGGGGGGTTATGAGAGGGGTTTAGGGGGGAACTTGAGTACATATTTGAATTAAATGATTTTTGGTGGAGCTCGTAGTTTATATGGGGGGGGGGAAAGTGCAAAGTTTCAATGACACGTCTCGTATAGCTCTGCGGGATCCAAGCGCATCGATGAACTGACTTTGCTGCTTCGCCTCACGTGTTTACGTCCTATGGGCCTGCGTTCACATAAAAAGTTAGCTTTCAAACCCTCCAATTACCCAGTCCACCCACTCATTCGATCAACCCCCCCCCCCCCCCCGGTTAGAAGAAAAGAAGCAGATGAAGAGAGGAAAAGAAAAAAAAAACTTACGCATCCCCAACAACCTTCCTCATAACCAAACTATCCACCCACTCCCCCTTTAGCATCTCCTTCTCCTTCGTCAAACTATGCCTCTCAAACCCCAACCTCTTCGCTAATTTCCAACTAGCCTCATTCCTCGGATCACATTCAATCTCCATTTCCACCTTCCCCACATCCTGAATCCTCTCCTTAATCGCACCTATAAACGCCGTCATAGCCTCCGTCGCGTAGCCCCTTCCTTGATATTCCGGTAAAAAGGAAAACCACAAGTCAGCGTGGGTAACGGGTTTGATGCTGGATTCGCCGGGGAGCTTGTCGGAATTTGCTTGCGAGGTTTTTGCGCCGACGCGGCCGATGAAGGTGCCCGTGTCGAGGGTTTCGACCGCGAGCTCGTAGATTGTGCGCGGTACGTCGTTGTGGTTTCGGATGTTTTGCAGGACCAGCTCACGGGCTTGCTGGGGGGTTCGCGGCGGCCAGGATTGGTAGCGGGCGTTTGCCTCGGAGGACTCGAGCGCGTAGTAGCCCGGTATGTCTTGGGTTACGAATTCGCGGAGGAGCAAGCGCTCGGTTTTGATTGCGCCGAAGCGTTCGCCTTTGAGGTTTTGGCGGGCGATGGAGGCGAGTTCGTCTTTTGTGAAGGATTGCGAGGCTGAGAGGATTTTTTGGATTACTGTGCTTTTGGCGTAGACGTAGTCGACGATGTTGGTGGAGGTGGCGGCGAGTTCGAGTTTGACGCGGGCGTATTCGTCTCGCAGCTCGCTGTTTGTGCGGAGCGTGTTTCGCAGGTTGAGGTGATTGCGGGTTTGGACTGCGCCGTCTACGCATACGTAGATGTTGTGGGGGATGGCCTGGTTTGGGTCTTTGAAGGCATGGCGGTCGACGACTCCGAGTTCTCCTAGGTGGTCAAACTTGCCGTTTGTCGTCAGAGCATCAATGGCAGACTGCAAGTTATCGCGAGAGACAATCACGTCAATATCGATAATGGGTTTGGCAGCCAATCCCGGCACTGATGTGCTACCCACGTGCTCGATTGAGAGGTAGTCGACGTCTCGCAGATGATTCTCAAACTCTGCTTTTATTTTTTCGAACTGCTTGGGCCATTCCTCGTTGTACTGGTCGACAATGACAGACATAGTTCTGGGGCTTGGAAAAAGGCAGTAGAGCTGAAGGAGAGGAGTCAAGGGCTAGATGTATAGATGTAGGCTGCAGAGATGAATGGGTGAGCTAGGCAACATCATTGGCTGAAACCCACACACCCACCCGGGTGCGCCCGCGATGCACAAACCGGAGCAGCGGTGTAAGCGGGACATGTAGGGCAAAAAAAAAAGGGCGGCAGGTGTGCAGCCATGAGTGTAACTGCAGTGTTGAAGCCATACAGGCAGCCAAGAGGGCATGTGCACATGTCGGGATGCATTGCGGAGATAGCGGCAACAGTTCCGAACCACTTGATTAGATTGCGATCCAATGCTCCCCAACTCTCCGACTCTAATCATACTGCTCAATCTTGATCACTGGGATGTCTGCATATGCCGGCGGCGCATGGCAGCCCAACAACCAAGACTCGGCGGCTGAATCCCCGCAAGCCTGTATCTGCTGCCTGAGCTGCCAAATGCAACGTACCACAAGAATGCTAGCCGCAAGCAGCAGCGACAAAGGAAGCAGTAGATTGCTCTGTGAAGAGCCAGACCAAAGCGCGCCTAGTTTGCCAATAGCCACATTCCACGTCCTTGCCCATGTGCCAAATTTGCCATAGTCGTCCCACTCGTTCGGGTCAAAGGCGGTTCGTATCATGGCCAGTCTGCCGCACTTCATCCTGGGCGGCTGAACGCGGTCTTTTTCTTCAACCACTTGTACACTTGCAATGGAAAGGGCATGGCCGCACCCTTTCTGGCCTGGAGTCTCTGGGCGAACGTGTTGCTCACGCAGTAGCACCTGTAAGACTGTATGGCCCAACTTGAATGGTGCAGCCTCCTCTCCCCAGGCAAGACCAGTAACGTTGAACTGGAGCCATACCTCTCCATTTCCTTCAGCTCGGAACACAGTGTGTTCGTACTGCAGTGGAAACCTGATTCTCTTAGACATGACCTCCTCGGCTTGCTCATCTGCTTCGTCTTCGGCATGATCCATTGGCACCTGCACGGCACTAATGCGCGGAGGCAACGGGTCAAGAGGAAAGACGCGCTCGTCATTGAGGAACAGAGCAGATCCCGACTTGTCAATGGCAAGCGTCAACATCTGTAGTATTGTCAGCGCGCCTCGCTTATGCGCCGCGACGAGATGCGCTTACCAAGGAGTTTTGTGGAGGCGGATGGATCCATTCTGCTGCATGAGGAGTCTTCAGCAGGCCAAACGGACATCCGGCACATCCATACTTGACGGCATATGTCTTGTTCGCGTCGATCACCGTGATTACTGGGGCCGCTTCCTGGACAGCCGGAACATGGATCTCTTCAACCTTGTGTTCGAGCGACGACGACGCAGCAACAACAACAGCCACAAGACCAAAAAGAGAAAAGGAGCGCATGGTTACATGAAATGAGTGGGAACAAAGAAAAGCTAACGAGAGACTGAGGGTCAAGTAAGAACAGAGGGAATATTGTTAAAGGGGAGAGTGAGAGAGACTACCCAAGATGGCGGAGAGATGACGCGTGCGTATGCCTCGGTCAACGGCACGCTAGCGCAGGGACCGTCAACGTGGGGATTGACCATTCTAGATTCCTGGCGATCATTCATCCCCGGACTCTTGGACATGAACAGGCAAAATCCATGAGGGACGGCATTGTGCCTGAGATTGCTACGCAAGTGCCAAGATACCACGAGTTTCATTCGTGGTTGGTAATGGTAAAAGAAATGCTCAACACATGAAATGAGTTGCTGCCGTAATAGTACTTGCAAGTATGCTTCGATGACCGAACGCATGGGCTTGCTATTTTTAGACTGGAGTGGTTCATTGAGTTATACGAGGTCTGTGTTCATGTGTTATCATTGAGTGCATGCTTATGCAGTCTATCTGCCTGCAACACGGCAGGACCCGTTATCATTTCAATAGCCAAGAAAATAAGGGTGACTGCTCATGCTGCCATTTGTGCGTGCACAGCCTTCCATCCCAACATTCTTCGCTCGAATATGGAGAAGCGGGATGAAGCGGGATATCTGCTACACCTGTTATGACGGGCTAGTCCCATCATCTCTTGTAGCTTGGATAGTTGCAACTTCTTAGTTGCACATCGTGTCTGGTCGGGCAGTGGGATTGACATGGATGGATGATAAGGTGGTTTGGAACATGGAGGATGGCTTCACTCCTCTTCACTTTCTTCACTACTATCTCCACCTTCCAGCCCTCTCCTCATCAACTCTTCTAGATCGTCTTCGTCATCGTCCGCGGGGATTTCTGCAATTGCACCGTGCTTGTGGTCGTGACTGGTCGTATCTGGCTGTACGGGAGGTCCAATGTCCATGGGCTCGACGTCTCTGTCATTGTATTCGTATTCCTCTGCATCCTCCTCTTCTTCCTCATCGTCGTCGTCGCCTTCAGCGTCATCACCGCCCAAATCACCAAAGTCAATCTCATCCTGTGTGTTTCGGTTGCGTGCGTGCGGGTTGGGAGAGCCTTCTACGTCGCTGTTGGCTGCACTGGCAAGAGATATGGGGCCGTTGGATGGAGAACGCATATAGCCGGCGCCGAGATTGTGGCCCAGACTGCGAGCTGCTAGTGCGCCGTTCTTGCGTCGTGGTGGGCGCGCATCGGGTACTTCAATTTCGAGACCGCCGTCGTCGTCTGATTCGTCTTCGGCCTCATCGTCGTCGTGATGATGTCGCTGGTTTTGTACAGGTGCAGGGGATGGAGGCGCTGGCGAGGATGCAATTTCGCCGTCAGACTCGTCGGACGAGTGTATCACCTCGGCAGATTTGATCTTGGAAGCGGGTGGTGCGGTAGATTTGCTCTTTGGCTTGGCGGCAGGTTCTGTTGCTGTGCGCTGAAGACGGACGGCCGGTGGTGGCTGAGCCTTTTTGGGCTTCACCATAGGGTTTGTGGTCGTAGTCTTGCGCTTCTTGGGCGCAGTAGCTGCAGCGGGCTTCCGCACTGGAGCAGCGGCGGGTGGTACGCGAGCCCCAAATTGCGGTGTATGAGCCGCGCTGCCTGTGCCAGCTCGGTGCTCTGGCGATGATGCATAGCGGTAGTCGGACTCGTCGCCTCGCTTCGCCTTTTCCTTGCTCAAAAAGTGCCTGAAGTCATAGGGGTTGTCGGGGTCAGGGTCGCCTCCCTCGTCGTCTGCTGCCGCTTCGCCAAACAGATCGTCGTCCTGGTCCTTGTCCTGCGCATCGTCCTTGAGTTTCTTTGGGTATATCTTAGCGTGCTGTGACGATATATCTTTGCCATTCCTCGTGGCGAGGTTGAAGGTGTAGCTACTCGAGAGCGGCTCTAGGGTTGCTTGCTGGCTGGCGGGATCCAAGATGAGGACATATGACTTCTTTGGCTGTGACTTTTGCCCCGTGAAGGTGAAGACATCCTGGTCGCCGGATTCGGTCGTGTCTTCGATGCGCAGGTTGCAAGTATTCGTCGATGAAGGCGCCGAGAGTGTCGTAGAACGATTGTCGGATGTCTGTGTAGGCTTGTGATTGTCTACGTAGGGCGTAAGTCAGCAAGCGCCAGGATATGCATACGCATGCCAGGTGGAGGGCTAACATTTTACACTGCTGTACTCGATCGCGTCATCATTGTTCCGTATGCGGTCGCTGAGGTGGAGGGTGAAGTGCGCCTTCTTGTGAGGCTCGATGCGGCTCTCTACCACGGGAGACGCCATTCCCGCGCTCGTCGTTGTCGGGCGACGAGCCTGCTGGCTGCAAAGACGAAAAAAGCAAGACAGAGTATGTGTGTACACACACCAGAGAAGTCACACTCTCCAGACGCGTTGGGTCATGAAAGAAGCATGGTTTGCTGGGTAGTATGGATGGCGCGCCGTGTTGCACATGGCCAGTCCGGCCGGGCTGGATTGGATTGGAGGCTCCGCCTGCCGGCCTCCCGCCGCTGCTAGTCAGGCACCCAACTCCACACGACTAGTAGCTCCAGCCCGCAACCGTCTCCGCTTTGCCATGTCCCTCTTCCATGGCGGCATCTGTAAGGCCTCCAGTCGATTCGAATCTCTTGATATGTGCATCTATTATACATGCACGGTCCAGACCACCCGGTGAAAGTGGGTAGCCGTGTATCCCCACTCTACAGCGCCATCGTGACGGCTGGTTTCGTACTGCCAATATACACGCCTTGCCCGTACATATTGGCCTAACCACCATAATCCTCCTCGCTGCTCACCAAGCAATCTACAAAACCATTGAAAATGTCCAAAGACAGTTCACCGCCACGACACGTACTTGTTCCAATCTGCAAAGTAACATTGGTGTTGCAGTTGATCCTTGAAGCGAGCATTATCATCCGCCTGATAATGTATTGGTAACGGCATTTTTCCAGTCAGATACGAATTCATGACCAAATCGATGGAAAACACCTTACGCCCGCACAGTGCCATCAAGATTGGTGGCGGGGTAGCAACGCTGTCGGTTGGAGGTATAAGATGGCCATGATGAGACATAAACCCAACGAGTCTGTGACTGTCGACTCTACCTCAAGCCAAATTCACTGTGCTCCGTCCTCAATAATATAGTTCGTGGGGTCATTCGTTCATTGAATCGCGCTGGCCTCGTGTCACACGTGTTCTGTATGATGCGGTTCATCATCCCCACGCTTCTTGCACTAGCAAGCTCAGCCACTGCTGCTGGTATCGCAGTCATTCTCAACAACTCTCCAAAGCCAATATACGTCTGGTCGGTTGGCAGTTCGGTCGGCCCTCGAAATGATATCAAAGCTGGTCAGTGATTGCCTGGTCAGTGTCAGTGTTCCTTTCTTGGCTAACGGCCACAGGTGGCATCTATTGGGAAGAAATGCGCCGCGACGAGAAAACAGGAGGGATTGCCATCAAAGTCACAACCAGTGCAGACGGACTCTACTCCGGCGCTCCCCAGCAAGTCTTTGCATACAACCTGGACAATGACACAGTCTGGTACGATTTGAGTACGGTGTTTGGTGATCCGTTTGCTGGCTACCGATTGCAAGTTACAGGTGACAATGGAGGATCCATTCTGTGGCCAAAAGGAACTCATCCAGGGGGGAGCCAGCTCAAGTCAGCCCCAAGTGAAGGAAACTTCTTCTTCTCCATTGATCCCGCTGCTTAAAGCAGTGACAGCCACTGGGCGGCTCGAGCGTTGTATCTCTACTTACGCGCCGTGGCCGGCGCCTCATAATTCAAAAAGTTACTTTCTAATATTCCGTGATCTTCTTGCATGATGCTGGTTCAAGCCATGTCATCTCCCTAGAGGGAACCGGTTGCGTTGTGCCATAACAGTTAGACCGCCAACCGCCGGCAGGGCGGCAGATCACTGCTTATCAGGGTACAATAACCGGCGAGACACGTGGAATTCGGTGCTTTTCGCCTGAATCAGTATCCACCTAGAAGACCCAACGTAGCGGTAAGAGAGGTGTGGACGAACGATGGGTGTGGAAAAACATGGGGTAGGCCCTGCTTTGGTCAAATTGGCCTTCTGGATTTCCTGAGTCGGCCTGTGCGCTGCCATCTCACGTCAGTCGATTTATTCGCCGTTTGACACACAATTTCGACCAATTATCCGAACGTTCGGGATGCATTTTTCCCCTTGCCACATGCAAAACATTCATGTGCATGGGGACAACACCACGAGCACCTCCTCTATTGCGCCACCTCGGCCCTGTCTTCGCTGATGTTCCAAGTCAGGCCACGGCCACGCTTCGAGATACCGCATTGCTCTTGTATCGCCGACCAGCCATCCATTCATTCATCCATCCATCCATCCATGCCGCAATCTCTCTTCATCTAACAAGGACTCCGCTCTCCCGCGAGTCAAGTTGGTGTCTCGTGTTGCTTCGGATGGTGGATACCGAGTGAACGGCCACATCCTATCTCTAGCCCGCCTTTTTCTGGCTCGTCTCCGCCGCCCATCACGCTGCATGCTGCTACTGCGTGATTGCAAATGCGGGCGATATCGCGCCATGAGCATTGGCTGGCACCGCGTGGAGCCCCGTATCCAGGTGGTGGTGGACCTTTCTCTGTGCACGACCTCAGCCCGGAAAGTGTCTGTCCCACGGCAGACTGCAATGGAGCACTGCATGCGGCGCAGCGTCGTGATTGTTAGGTGTGGTGCAGTACCATTTCAAGTCCTTTAGCCGGCATCCGACAGCGCTGGCCTGCACCCAGACAGCCCAAGATCAGACTATGCTCCCTGTCGGATGCTAGGCCCCACCCGCTTCCCGGCCTCTCCGCAATCATCATTGGCGTGCCAATCCGAGCACCTGTTTCTCTGCATCTTCTATTCGCTAGCTAGCTTCCCACTTGGCCTTATCGACCGACCGCCTGGAACACCCTGGTCGCGAAATTCAAACAGCGGCCGTCTTCGGGGGTCGATACAACTTTTGAGGCAAAAGGCCCTTTCTCG